ATATATCAGTAATCACAATCGTGTAATAAAGTCTCCGGTTATAAGACAGATCCTCAGATTATGTGTTTAAAAAGGGGATTATGCATTCTTTATAAGAAAAAAGTTGGAATTTAAAGAATACATACTTGATATACACTGAAAAGAACTCAGCATCTTTTCTGTGACATTCCTGCCATACTCTTCACAAATGCCAATGTTATGAAATACAAAAAAAAAGACTCTTCCAGATTAAAGAATACTAAGGAGATATAATAATTGAATGCAATGCATGATCTTATATTTTCTTTTGCTATAAAGGACCCTATTGGGACAAATGGCAAAATCCAAATGAGATCTATAGATTAGATAAATGCCATCATATAGATGTTAATTTCCTAAATTTGATAGTGGTACTCTTGTTATGAGACAATTCCTTGTTTTTAGGAAATACACACTGAAGTATGCGACGATAAAGAGGCATTGTGCCTGCAACTTAGTCTTAAATGGTTGAAAAAAAGTATATATTAACTGATAGATATAAGGAGAAAGTAAGCAAGAGAGAGGATAAAGCAGATACAGCAAAAAGTTACCATTTAGAGAATCTGGGTGCACTTTGTACTGGGAATTCTTTATCCTATTATTACATCATTGTCTGAAATTATATCACATTTTTAAAATTTCCTAATAGATTAGGAAATAAAAAAGATATACCAAGAAAAAATAACCAGAAAAGGCTGGCATTGACATTAAATAAACATTAAGGTAATAAGTATTATTAATGTCCTGTTATATCCTGACAACCTAGAACAATGCCTGGCATTTAGCCCATGCTTGTAAAATACTTGCTTAATGAAGTAGTAATAAAGAGAGTTAATATATAATGATAAAAGAACAATTACCAAGAAGATATATTAATTTTAAACTTGTATGCTTCTAGAAACATAGCTTCAAAATACTGACAAATACCAGACAAATATATTGATAGTAAGCATCACCTATAGATACTACCATATACTAGACAATAAATAAGTAAATAAAAACCTCAGCAAACTTCAAAGAACCAATTACATATAATCTACATTTACTAGTCACAATGCAATTACATGAGAAAATAATGGTCATAGAATAAAAAAATCATACATTTCAAAATGTTAAGGTATACTTCTAAGTAACACATGAATCAAAGAAGAAATCACAATGAAACATGGAACTTAGAAAATGTTTAGAACTAAATAATAAAAAAAAATACTAAGTTTCAAGACTTACAGGAAGAAGCTAAAGAGGGAAATTTACAGGCTTAAATGCTTTTATTAGAAATGTTTAAAGTTTTCTAATAAACCGAAAACTAATATATGAAATATCTAACACAAAACTTGAGAAAGAAACAGATAAAACAAAAGACACATACAAATGTTGATAATATTAGTTCCTATTATTTGGGGGATATCTGAAATGTTTCATGATTTGTTTTGAGTTTCATTTATTTTTTGCTTTAAAATTTTTTATTTTTAAAAAATGTTTGTGGGTACATAGTAGGTCTATGTATTTATGGGGTACATGGGATGTTTTGATACAGGCATGCAATGTGTAATAAGCACAACATGGACAATAGGGTATCCATCTCTCAAGCATTTATCCTTTGAATTACAAACAATTTATTTACATTATTTTAAAATATACAATTAATTTATTATTGACTATTTTCACCCTATCCTGCTGTCAAATAGTAGGTCTTATTCTTTCTATTTATTTTTACCCATTAACCATCTCCAACTCCCCTCAATTCCCCACTACTCTTCACAGCCTCTGATGACCATCCTTCTACTCTCTATATCTATGAGATCAATTGATTTAATTTTTGGGTCTCACACATAAATGAGAACATGTGACATTTGTCTTTCCATGCCTGGTTTATTTTGCTTAACGTGATCTCCAGTTCATTCATGTTGTTGCAAATGAACCGTTGGTGGGAATGTAAATTAGTACATTAGTAAATTAGTACAACCACTATGGAAAACAGCTTGGAGGTTTCCAAACCATTTCCAAACTGTTTTCCATAGTGGTTGTACTAGTTTACATTCCCGTCAACAGTATGCAAGGGTTCCCTTTTCTCTACATTCCTGCCATCATTTGTTATTGCCTGTCTTTTGGATATAAGCCACTTCATAACTTGGATGTAATTCATAATTTCATATAATTCATAACTTCATAATTTGGATACAAGCCACTTCATAATTTGTAAAAGAGAAAGATGTCATACAATCTAAAAATATTTGGTTTGAAATATATAAAATTTCAAAAACAAAGATTGGTGAATAAACAAGCAATAACTTTCTACATCAAAAACATCAGAGAACGTTTCTGTTCAAGATGGTAACCAGGTAATGCATCTGTTTCACCTTTCCAAGATTCGATGGGTGAAGCAATAAAAATACACAAAAATGAGTAAATTTATGAAAATCCTAACAAAAGAGTTATCATTAACTGACCATCACTTCTGATGAATTTCAGGCAGCTGAAAAGCTGATGGGATCTTAGTGGAGATAATCCTGAGCAGAGAGAACTGCAGCTCAGAACTACAAGAGAGATGTTTCACTCAAAGGCAGCAGTTCTTTCTGACTGAATGCCATCTTACTCCACACTGGGTCAGTACATACAATGAGCAAGCATGGACTGCGGTGAACGGTGCTGAATCAAGTAGGTGTATACTTAAAGATCTGTCTACTCAACAGCTATTTTTGGAATACCAACAAACCCACCCACTCCCACTCCTGTCATGAATATAAACATGTACAGACCAGCTGGCTGAAGAAATCCTCAGCTAGAGCCTCAGGAACTGTTCTTCAAAGAAAATAGAGTATTTGTCAAGGAAGGATGGAAAGTGTGGGTGTTTTATCTATAGAGATGATTAACTGCCTCTACAAAAGAATCAGAGGGAAAAAAAGAAATGACGATTTCACCTGGCACAAATGAAAACAAAGTCTTTCTACCCCTAAAAGAAAAGTCTCCTTATTTTGGCAATCACTGACTGAGTCTGCCTTTTCCCTTTCACTTAAACTAAAGGGAAGTTCACAAGTGTGTGGGATTCAAGAACTTACACAAATCAAGTGATCACACTAGAGTGAGATCTTATGGTTAGAAAGATCTACTCAACCGCACAGAACACCCTACTACTTAACATGGCCCTTCATTTAAAGATTACCAGCTACTGAGGAAAATCAAAACCATGAAAGAAAAAAAAAAGCCAAAAGAATGAGTGTGGTGACTGATCCTGGAGAAAAAAATGATGAAAAAAAAATCCTCAGATTTTAAAGTCCCTTGAATCTTTTAAGAAAGAGATGCTTTGAAAAAGAAATAAGAGTTGGATGAAGTTTATCCATATATTTCACAATTTATGGATATGGTAAATTTGATACATAGTAAATTTCACAATTGACTATAATTAATATGCTTGATACTTATTGTCTTTTTAACTTTTATAAATTAATGAAATTTCCTCTTCCATAAGTTGTTCACTGCTGCCTAAACTATAACGATAATGATTGAACATAATTCTCAACGGGAAATTCAGTAAGCAGTCTCCCGAATATGCATTATGTACTTTCCAAATGAAAGCCAAAATAGGCACGAATATGCTAGGGCCAGTAGACTCCTGCTCCCCACTCTAACGAAGCTTTTCGGAATCTTACCAGACCCAAGGTCCTAAGGACAAACTGAGTCCTGACTGAACAGTTCTTGGAGATTTAGCGACATAACAGGTTAACCCAATCTGAATGTCTTTTAAATAAACAGTCGTGTTCCATAATTGTATCTAATCTGGGAAGGGCTTGACAGAATTTAGAAGTTCTGGAATAAATCCACGTCTTGGATAGTGTTCTAAAATTATCCTAACCTTCTAGAAGAGGCAAGCATTACCTGACTCATATTTTCTGGGAAAAGTTTAAAATAAAATCAGTCTTTACAATGAGGCATATAAATAAGGCATCATCTGTCCCCCAGCCATTTCAAGTGTACCATTTATAGACACTTAATTCTTACAAGGGAACTCAATGTATTGAAAGAGTTAAGAGTTATATTGTGCCTTTAAAAGTGCATAATGATACCAGAGAGAACCTAATGCAGTTTTCTATAGCATTTGTACAAAGGAAAGTTGTTAAAAGAGCAAATAATGTTCCTCATTACCTGTATCATATTACACAGCAGAACAGGTACACTTCTAATCCTCTTTACACATGAACAAATACAAAATATCTCAGCATCAAACTTCTATTTAATTGCTGACTTCCAGCAAAATCATAAATTTGACCAAGTTCATCTCAGAGTTTTAGAATCTCCTTTCCATAGTTTTGCCCCCCACAATCAAACTCTTTTTCCACCTGTTCACATGCCAGTTCTCTACCATCTTCATGTCTTTTTTCAGCATTCACAAACCAAAAACACCCTAGAGTCAAACTGGTCCAACGTCCTCATTTTAGAAAAAGCTAAACTGAGTCCAGGAGAGTTATGATTTACCCAAGGTCACACAGCTACCAAGAGATGAAGCTAAGACCAGAACTGGGCCTCTGATGCCCTATGCAATGTTTTCTCCACTATGCCAAGCTGCCTCTTTAAAAACTGCAAAGCATACAGTATTTATGTGTATCTTCACAACTCTCAACCTCTCCTCTCTGTGCCTTTTCCCTCTTGGTACAATAATTTCTCAACTTTCAGTCACAAATAACCCTCTTTCTTATTAATTCTGTATCCATGATAAAACAGGAAAGGATTTACTACTCATTTACCACAAATGATTCATTGAGTGATAACACTTCTATTGTGTTTCTAATGTTACATTTATTCTTTAAAATGGAAAACACCTCACTACCTCCCAAATCAACATATCACAAAGCTTAATAATTATATCCACAATTTGAATTCAGAAAACACCTAAATAACCGTAGAGTCTTACTTTGCAGAAAGCCATGTTACAACATTTGTTTCATTTCTTTGAAAAGTACATATCAATTCCACTTGAAACTCACCACGAAAGTGATTTGATTGTGTCGCAGGTTAAGCTCAGTTAGTGAATCCAGCCCATTAAGATTATCAACATGGCTTAAAAAGTTTTTGGCGAGATTTAAAACTCTCAACTCACACAAGTGATTAATATTTTCAATTTTGGTAATCTGTTGAAAAAAATACGAAAGGGGTGATTAGTAGGCAAAAACCTGAAATATCCATGTTCTAAAAACCCTGAAAATAAAATATTCAAAATCAATGGATTCAGTGGCAAGTTTATATGTAGACATTTAAAAATCTATTTTCAATTTCCTACGTTGTAAATAATACGGAGTCATGTAACTTGTGAACATTAGCTAAAAGAGCATGTTTTACAACTTGACCATAGTAAATACTTGAAGTACATTTCATCCATAATCAGTGAGTCCATCGGGCAACTTTAAGTGCTCAACACTTTGCCAGGTCTTGTGAAGGCTACAGACTACCTGCCAAATAGAAACATACTGTGAGCCCAAGGTATGTAAGTTCATCATGTTTTAACAAAGTAAGTCCACCCTTGGACAGAGAAGGCAAGGGAGAGGAATGACATCAAGTTACCCTTGTTAATTCTATTTAAACTGCAAGATCTTGAGAGCAGTCGAGTCTGAATGGAAAGAGTCAAGGAACTACGATTCCCAGTAGAAGGTGAGGGTAAATATTTTTTTATTAATGGAAAGCTTAAGAGAGGAGATGTTGCCAGGCGCAGTGGCTCACACCTGTAATCCTAGCACTTTGGGAGGCTGAGGTGGGTGAATTACCTGAGGTCAGGAGTTCAAGAGAGGAGATGTTTAGTGAGGGTGCAAAATGGTGAACACTGTTTAAAACAAGAGGACTTCAATTATCGACTATGCATGTGCATATAATATTACAGGATCTTTGGGATGTCACTTTTCTGGCCAGAAACCTCTATGACCAGTGGCACCTTTGCCCGAGTTTCGCTCTGGCTCACTGGGCTCGTTTTTACCTACTTGCCCTGGCAGGCTGTGCTCAGCTCATGCTACTGGCCTGGGTCCCATGCCTGCTAAGGGCAAGTCAGGCAAGGAACTGTGAAGGGTGTGTGAGCAAGCATGGTCTGGCCACCGTGCAGTCAGACATGCTGGCTACTACGGCAGGACGGGCAGCTCCAGATGCTGGCACAGACACCAGCTCTCTGAGAGTCTGCAGCTGGACCAGGAGCACTGCAAGCAGCTTCCACAACCAGCACTGTGGAACACGGTGGTGCCCAGAAGCTTGGATATACCAGGAACCTCAGGGCCCCAAAGAGGGAGTCACAGCCACAGCTTGGGGAGCTCCCAAGCCTAGGTGACCTAAGGGCCACAGTTTCCTTCTCTTTGCCTGCAACATGGCGAGCAAGGGGCATGTCTCAGCCTGTTTGTGTTACAGTTCTTTTAGCCTTTCCATTCTGTGGGTCACAAATTCTGTGGGTCCCAAGTTCTTATCCTGCAACCAGGAAGAATGAGGTACACACACAAGTAGAGGGTAACCAAGACAAAGAGAAGCTTTTTATTTATTTATTTTTGAGATGTAGTCTCTCCCTGTCTCCCAGGCTGGAGTGCAGTGGCACAATCTTGGCTCACTGCAACCTCCACCTACCAGGTTCAAGTGATTCTCCTGCCTCAGCCACCCAAGTAGCTGGGACTACAGGCATGTGCTACCACACCTGGCTAATTTTTTGTATATTTAGTAGAGACAGGGTTTCACCGTGTTAGCCAGGATAGTCTCAATCTCCTGACCTCGTAATCCGCCTGCCTCAGCCTCCCCAAGTGCTGAGATTACAGGGTGAGCCACTGCACCTGCCCAAGGAGCTTTCTTAAAATAAACTTAAGAAAAATAATGCTGTCACAAAATGTTTCATTTATAGTTATTAACAGTTTTTAAAATAGAGGATAAAATACCAATTCCTTTGCTTGGCATACAAAACCCTCCACAATCTGGCCATTGCCTACCTTTCTAGTCTCTTCTCTCATTATCCTTCCACACATGCCCTATTCTCTGGTGGTAAATACTTACTGTGTTGTTTTCTACCTCAGTGCCTTCGCATATGATATTCTTTGACTGTCAATACTCTTTAATTCCTCTTCTTCTTCCACCACCATCTAACTGGATAATTTCCCTCTATTGGACAGACAGTAACTAGCCTGCAGAACCGGACAATTCCCAGGCCACCAACTCTCTTCCCACGTACTACATGCACACACAGACACACGCGGGGCTGGAACCAGATTAGAACCTAGTAGATGTGGTTCTAATCTACTTGATAAATCTTGATTTATTTTTTATTAATTACATTAGCTTTTCACCAGAACTACTGGAACCAACAACTGTTAAAAAGCCTAGAGAGATCACACTGAGGTTTGCACCTGACCAACTGTAAGCAGCTGTGGAAGAACTTGTTCATCAACAGGCAGTGACCCCCCCAGATCATCCCAGGATGTAGGATTATCACTGCTGAAGAGACTTTACATTCTGCATGAGTATGTAGCCCTTTAACTATTTATAAATATCACATTTCAAAAACAAAAATTTAAATGGATAATAAAAGGACTGAAAAACAGCAAATATGCTCTGACAGAGAAGAATAAAGAGAGGAAACATAAACCAGATATAGAAATTCAGACAGACAGACAGGGGAGTAGACAAATTGACTGAACATAATTAGAACCCTAGATTATATAGTAATCAGGAAAATATAAATCAAAACCACAAAGTGATACCACTTTATACCAATTTGATCAGAAAAAATTAAAAAGTCTGAGTAGGTTAGAAGGAAGATGGTGCTATAGGAGCAACTGAGGATTGCAGCTCCCAGTGAAAGTGCAAAGGGTGAGTGGACGCTGCATTTCCAGATGGATCTTTATTGCCCACAGACCAGGAGATTCCCAGGTGTAGGAGCCCCACAGGTCACCAGCGCAACTGTTTTGGCCGGTGTGGCTATTTCAGCTGGTGCCGCAGCGCAGTAGCACTTCATACAAAATACACTGGTTTGGTTGCCCTGTTAAACCAGCAATTTGAGATTTGGGAAGGCAGATTAGCACATTCATCTGATTAAACAGGACTTAAACAGTAAGCCAGGCCAGGAGATTCCCAGGCAGCAAAGTTGTTTCAGCCAGCTCAGTGGGTTGCCGCATGGGAAATCACACAGATCCTGGCACCCTTTCAGCAGGTGACTTGAACACCTGGGAGAGAGTCAACCAATCAACTTTAAAAAAAAAAGGGCTCTGAGGCAGGGAGCCAGGTGATCAGGCTCAGCAGGTCCCACCCCCACAAAAACAAACAACACAGCAATTGGAAACGCTCGGGATTGAGAGTTTCACGGCAAGCACAGCTGAACCCAGGATGGTGCAGCTCGGTGGGGGAGGGGCATCCGCCATTACCGAGGCACTCCACCCCTATGGAGGTACTCTGCCACTGCTGATGCATCCTGCCATTGCCGAGGCAACCCGCCATAACAGAGAGAGTCCACCATTACAGAGGCGGGCCACCATCGCCACAACAGTTCTAACCACACCCATATAAACAGCACTACAGGGAATTACACACGGCAGCAGGGTGGCACCCACGGCAGCAGGGTGGAGCCCAGAGCAGCTCAGCATAGCCTCTGCAGCAGGCAGTGATTAGACTGCCTCCTTGCTGGGCAGGACAGTGCAACGGATACTCATAAATAAAGCCCTAACTCCCCAGGACAGAGCACCTGAGGAAAAAAAGGGGCTTTATGAGTTCTGCTGCAGCAGACTTAAACATACCTGCCTAGCAGCCCTGAATGAGCAACAGAGCTCACAGCTCAGCACTTGAGCTCCTATAAAGTACAGACTGTCTCCTCAAGCAGCTCCCTGACCCCTATATATCCAACGAGTCACCTCACAAAGGACTGATCAGACTGACACTTGGCAGGCATCATTCTGGGACAAAGATAGCAGAAGAAGAAACTGGTAGCAACCCTCACTGTTCCACAGCTGCTACAGGTGTTCCCCAGGTAAGGAGGACCTGGAGTGGACCTCAGCAGTCCTACAGCAGAGGGGCTAGACTGTTAGAAGGAAAACTAAGAAACAGAAATACTTTTATCATCAACAATCTGGATATCCACTCAGAGACCCAATAGGAAAGTGAGCAACTACTCAGATGACAGGTGGATAAATCCACAAAGATGGGAAGAAACCAGTGCAAAAAGGAGGAAAACACCCAAAACTGGAACACCTCGCCTCCTACAAGGGACCACAACCCCTCACCAGCAAGGGAACAAAGCTGGACGGAGAATGAGTGTGATGAAATGACAGAATCAGACTTCAGAAGGTAGGTAATGAAAAGCTTCCGTGAGCTAAAAGAACACGTTCTAACTCAATGCAAAGAAACTAAGAACCTTGAAAAAAGATGTGAGGAAATGATAAAAGAATGGACAACTTAGAGAGGAATATGAATGAATTGATGGAGCTGTAAAACACAACACGAGAACTTCGCAAAGCATGCACAAGTCTCAACAGCTGAATTGACCAAGCAGAAGAAAGGATATCAGAGGTCGAAGATCAACTCAATGAAATAAAACGAGAAGGCAAGATTAGAGAAACAAGCGCAAAAAGGAATGAACAAAGTCTCCAAGAAATGTGGGTCTATGTGAAGAGACCTAATCTACATTTGATAGGCCTACCTGAATGTGACAAAGAGAACGAATCCGAGCTGGAAAATACTCTTCAGGATATTATCCAGGAAAATTTCCCAAACCTAGCAAGGCAGGCCAAGATTCAAGTCCAGGAAATACAGAGAACACCACAAAGATATTCTGCAAGAAGAGCAACCCCAAGGCACATAATTGTCAGATTCACCAGGGTTGAAGTGAAGGAGAAAATGCTAAGGGAAGCCAGAGAGAAAGGTCGGGTCACCCACAAAGGGAAGCCTGTCAGACTCACAGCAGATCTCTCGGCAGAAACCCTACAAGACAGAAGAGAGTGGGGGCCAATGTTCAACATCCTTAAAGAGAAGAACTTTCAACCCAGAATTTCATATCCAGCCAAACTGAGCTTCATAAGTGAAGGAAAAATAAAATCCTTTGCAAACAAGCAAGTACTCAGAGATTTTGTCACTACCAGGCCTGCTTTACAAGAGCTCCTGAAAAAGGCACTACACATAGAAAGGA